CTCTGCTGCGCTATGCTATGCTATGCTGCGCTATGCTATGCTATGATATGCTATGCTGCACTATGTTATGCTATGCTATGCTGCGGTATGCTATGGTATGCTATGGTATGCTATGCTGCGCAATGCTATGCTATGATCTGCTATGCTATGCTAAGCATATGCCATCTGCGATCTGCAAGCATATGCCATATGTGATCTGCAAGCATATGCCATATGCGATCTGCAAGCATATGCCATTATGCGATCTGCAAGCATATGCCATTATGCGATCTGCAAGCATATGCAATCTGCAAGCATATGCCATATGTTTGCATATGCGATCTGCAAGCATATGCCATATGCGATCTGCAAGCATATGACATATGCAATCTGCAAGCGTATGCCATATGTGATCTGCAAGCATATGCCATATGCGATCTGCAAGCATATGCCATATGCAGCGATATGCAATATGCGATATGCGATATGCAATATGTTATGTATATGCGCATGCATCTGCATTATGCAAGCATACGCAGTCTGCAAGCATATGCGATTTGCAAGCATATGCAATCTGCAAGCATATGCCATATGCGATCTGCAAGCATATGCGATCTGCAAACATATGCCATATGCGATCTGCAAGCATGTGCGACCTGCAAGCATATGATATCTACAAGCGTGTGCCATTATGCGATCTGCAAGCATATGCCATTATGCGATCTGCAAGCATATGCCATTATGCGATCTGCAAGCATATGCCATTATGCGATCTGCAAGCATATGCGATCTGCAAGCATATGCCATTATGCGATCTGCAAGCATATGCCATTATGCGATCTGCAAGCATATGCCATTATGCGATCTGCAAGCATATGCCATGTGCGATCTGCAAGCATATGCGATCTGCAAGCATATGCCATTATGCGATCTGCAAGCATGTGCCATATGCGATCTACAAGCATATGCGATCTGCAAGCATATGCCATATGTGATCTGCAAGCATATGCAATCTGCAAGCATATGCCATATGCGATCTGCAAGCATATGCGATCTGCAAGCATATGCGATCTGCAAGCATATGCCATTATGCGATCTGCAAGCATCTGCGATCTGCAAGCATATGCCATTATGCGATCTGCAAGCATCTGCGATCTGCAAGCATATGCGATCTGCAAGCATATGCAATGTGCAAGCATATGTGCTCTCCAAGCATATGCGATCTGCAAGCATATGCCATATGCAATCAGATGCGATCTGCAAGCACATGCCATATGCTAGCATACGCAATATGCAATATGCAAGGACATTGCAGATGCAAACATGGGCAATATGCAATATGCAAGGATATTGCATATGTGCAAGTATGCGCAATATGCAATATGCAATATGCAATATGCAAGAATATTCATATGCAAGCATTTGCAATATGCACCCGAATGCACCCGAACGTGTCCGGACCCGAACGAGAGCTACGGCACCCTCGGGACCGCAGGGACCGCGCCTCGTGGTTGTCCGGTTGTCCGGTTGTATGGTTGTCCGGTTGTCCGGAGCGGTTTGGAAATTCCGGGTCGGGAGCGTGCCGTACGCGCTTAAGAGAGCGCCGAAAAGAACGGAAGGTCGCCGGTTCGATCCCTACCGCAATTATGTTTTATGTTTCATATATGTGCATATATGCATATATGTAAATGCGATATGCAATATGCAGCGATATGCAGCGATATGCAATTTGCGATATGCGATATGCGGTATGTGATATGCGATATGCCATATGCAGCGATATGGGATATGCGATATGCGATATGCGATATGCGATATGCATATGCATAATATGCGATATGCGATATGCGATATGCGATATGCGATATGCGATATGCGATATGCGATATGCGATATGCGATATGCGATATGCGATATGCGATATGCGATATGCGATGCATTCTGCAAGCATATGCCATATGCGATCTGCAAGCATATGCGACCTGCAAACATATGTGATCTGAAAGCATATGCTATCTGCAAGCATATGTGATCTGCAAGCATATGCCATATGTGATCTGCAAGCATATGCCATATGCGATCTGTAAGCATATGTGATCTGCAAGCATATGCCATATGCGATCTGCAAGCATATGCGATCTGCAAGCATATGCCATATACGATCTGCAAGCATATGTGATCTGCAAGCATATGCCATATGCGATCTGCAAGCATATGCCATATGCGATCTGCAAGCATATGCCATATGCGATCTGCAAGCATATGCCATCTGCGATCTGCAAGCATATGCAATCTGCAAGCATATGCCATATGCGATCTGCAAGCATATGCCATATGCTTGCATATGCGATCTGCAAGCATATGCCATATGCGATCTGCAAGCATATGCCATATGCGATCCGCAAGCATATGCCATTATGCGATCTGCAAGCATATGCAATCTGCAAGCATATGCCATATGTTTGCATATGCGATCTGCAAGCATATGCCATATGCGATCTGCAAGCATATGACATATGCAATCTGCAAGCGTATGCCATATGTGATCTGCAAGCATATGCCATATGCGATCTGCAAGCATATGCCATCTGCTGCGCTATGCTATGCTATGCTGCGCTATGCTATGCTATGATATGCTATGCTGCGCTATGTTATGCTATGCTATGCTGCGCTATGCTATGGTATGCTATGGTATGCTATGCTGCGCAATGCTATGCTATGATCTGCTATGCTGCGCTATGTTATGCTATGCTATGCTGCGCTATGCTATGCTATGCTATGCTGCGCTGCGCTATGCTATGCTATGCTATGCTATGCGCCTCGTTGCTATGCTATGCGCCTCGTTGCTATGCTATGCTATGCGCCTCGTTGCTATGCTATGCTATTCTATTCTATTCTATGCTATGCTATGCTATGCTACGCTATGCTACGCTACGCTATGCTACGCTATGCTATGCTATGCTACGCTGCGCTATGCTATGCTATGCTATGCTATGCTATGCTATGCTATGCTATGCTATGCTATGCTATGCTATGCTATGCTATGCTATGCTATGCTATGCTATGCTATGCTATGCTATGCTATGCTATGCTATGCTATGCTATGCTATGCTATGCTATGCTATGCTATGCTATGCTATGCTATGCTATGCTATGCTATGCTATGCTATGCTATGCTATGCTATGCTATGCTAGCTATGCTATGCTATGCTACGCTATGCTATGCTACGCTATGCTACGCTATGCTATGCTATGCTATGCTATGCTATGCTATGCTATGCTATGCTATGCTATGCTATGCTATGCTATGCTATGCTATGCTATGCTATGCTATGCTATGCTATGCTATGCTATGCTATGCTATGCTATGCTATGCTATGCTATGCTATGCTATGCTATGCTATGCTATGCTATGCTATGCTATGCTATGCTATGCTATGCTACGCTATGCTATGCTACGCTATGCTATGCTACGCTATGCTACGCTATGCTATGCTATGCTATGCTATGCTATGCTATGCTATGCTATGCTATGCTATGCTATGCTATGCTATGCTATGCTATGCTATGCTATGCTATGCTATGCTATGCTATGCTATGCTATGCTATGCTATGCTATGCTATGCTATGCTATGCTATGCTATGCTATGCTATGCTATG